GCCATGGAGGAATCCATGACTTGTGAACATTTACTAACATGTGTTTGAAAACCAGAATTTTAGCCAAAGCCTCTAACACCATATTCCATTTTTATGCTACTCCTTGTGGAACTCTGGATCCATGGAACGTCTCCAGCATGATGAAAAGAGGTTTCCTATTGATACAAACCTATCATTTCTCACAAGTATTGAGGAACAATTCTTAAAGACTAAAGTCCACCTGATTCAAGCTGTGGTCTTTTCCCATGCCTCGCTGTGCATCTATCTGTGAGTTGGACAATGAATGAGGATGACAGAAGAATTGGTATCTTTGAGCCGTGGGTTTGGAGAAAAACACTGAATATCCTACAGACTGCCAAAAGAACAAGCAGATATGTCTTGGAGAAAGCGTAGCCAGAGTTCTCCTTGGCAGCAAGGATGGCGAAGCATTGTCTTATATAGGCTCAGTGTGTTAGGACAGGCCACTCTTTGGAGAAGGACATCATGCTTGGAAAGGTGGAGGGTCAATGAGAGAGAGGAAGACTGTCAACAAGATGGATGGACACAGTGACAGCAGCAGTGGGTTTGACTATGTCCAAATGATGAGGATGGCACAGGACACAATAAGGTCTAGATCGGTTGCTTATGGAGTTGCCTGTGAGACTTACTTGAACAACATACAAAAACAACAAGAAGAAACAAGAATTATCATAAAAGATGGTGTGTCTGTTCAGAGCACAATCACTTCATAACCTTTTCAAGTATGTGCTAGTCAAATAAGATTCGAGTTTGTAGTTAAATACACATAACAAAGCATTTGCCAAATCTGAAATGTGTTCTTACATAACTCCAAGGCATTGATTGCATTCATCATTCTGTACAACCGTTATCCTTCTTCCAATTATTATTGATAGAAACTAAACATCCCTAAAACAGTAATTCTTTCCCTCCATTTTTCCACCCCAGCTGCCCATGAATAAATGTTAATCTCTCTCTACTCCCCTATTTCATGGGAGTGTGACCATACAGTATTTGCCTTTCGTAGTGGACTTCTTTAGCTCAACATAATCCATGACCTTTCCTTATCATTTTTTTCCACTCATAGATGTCATTGGCTTAATAGATAGAGTCTCTGAAACTGCCGACTTCTTTCTTCCACTTTCATTTAAAACGACACTTGGAGGATATTATTAGCTTAAGGTCTGCACTTCGTGCTCAGCTGGATACTAATGGTTGAAACAGGACGTGAGGCTCCGTGGGGAGAGATGAGTGAGGAGCTGGTGTCCAGCAGCAGATGTCAGCAGTGCCCCCCCTCTGCTGCCTCTGTGATAGGATAAAGGTTCTGTGGTCACTCAGGAAGGACGCACGGCCTGGAGCTTCAGGATATAACGGATGATGCCTAGGGAAGAATGCACTTCTTTTTTAAAAAAAAATTTCTTTTATTAATTTAAAGGAAAATTTACAGAGACTTTGGATTTCCATTCATTCACTGTTGCACTTTTCTCCCCTCCCAACTCTCCCCCACCAGTACACTCCCCTCTTAGAAAAGTAAAAGAAAAATTTTCATTGTTTTACAATCCCTCCCCCCAGGTCCGCTCCACCATGTAGCCTTCGCTCTAGACTCCTGTCATGACAAAAATACCTAATCACAGATCCCTTTTAAACAGTTTTCTCCCTCATCTGTTTCAATGCAGTATACATTATTGAACCCATCTTTCTCAGTCTCCCGCCAACACCAATGTCAGTCCTGTTTTACAACAGTGGCACCATGCAGTACTTGTCCTTTTGTGACTGAGATATTTCACTCAGCATAATGTCCTCCAGGGTCACCCATTTTGAATAATATTTCATGAGTTCCTGTTTTTCAGTGCAGCGTAGTATTCCATTGTGTGAATAGACCACAGCTTCTCTATCCATTCGTTTGTTTATGGCCACTTAGGTTGTTTCTAACACCTTGCTATTGTGAACAAAGCCACAATAAACATGGGTGTGTATAAGAATGAACTTCTTCTTCTTGTCTACCTTTCCTTTGCATTTTACTCCCTACAGGACTCTAGATGCATGGAAATCCAGTGTAGGCAGAATGGTTGCTATTGAACTGCATGCTTCCATTTATGACATAGTGTAACATTGATGGTTAAGGGTGCACTAACATGATGCCTCCAGAAACTCTATGAACTTTGACAAAGGTTGATAGTTATAGAAAGGTTTTAGACCTTCTGTTCATAGGGTCGCTATGAGTTGTGCTCGCCTGGAAGGTGATCAATAACAACAACAATCTAGCATGCACTAGTTAAAGCTGTGTGTTTATAGCATTTCATTGATTTCTCAGTTGATCCTTCTTGGATGCATGCTATCAATATCCCCAGGAGAATGAGACTTAACAAGGGCAGACAACGAACCTGAGGCCACATGCCTAGTAAATAGTAGAGTCTAGTGTCAAATGCAGAGCTGTCTGCCACAGATCCTATTTACTCAGCTCTTACGTTGTTCTACAATAAATAGACTCTTCCTGAAGCTACCTCAGGCTATTATTTAGATGGAGATTAAAATCCCATGCTAATACTAAGATCAGAGCAACACTTTGCAATTTCTCCTGAATGCTGCAGAAAAGCACATTCCTTCAGTGTTAAACAAATAACCTGCTTCATCTAAGCCAAAAAAGTAGAGGACAGCATGAGCACAGGAAAAAGCAGAATGGAATTTAGTGTCAAAGGTTGTGGGTACAAATCCTTGTTTTACAACACAAATTAGTAAACGTCACAAGTCTTGGTTTTTTCAGTTGCAATCTATAAATGCTGTCTAGTTTGTAGGGCTCGCAAAATGTTTATATAGAATGGTGTACAGTTAAGTCTCCCCAACTTATAACAGGATTTCTTTTCCATAACTCCATCAAAAGTTGATATGACATAAGTAGAATTCTTTTTGGTTTTCTATAGTCAGCATTTGGGACAGTAAATCATAACATATGAGAATGGTAACCTGATAAACATCAACAAATGAAATGCTGCAGCGTCGTACAGAGTACATATTACCAAAGCTAGCACCTCCCAAAGCTCAGGTCGTCCTAAGGGTTGGTCTTCTAACTCAGATTCTCTGTAGATTAGGGACTACTTTGACTTCGGGGTTGTAAAATGTTTTTTCTAACTTTCCATTCCTCTGTCCTTTCTTCTCTTCCATTTTCCTGTCCATCTTCCCCATCTATTTCTACTAATATTTCTTCATTGATTAAGTTGGCACCTTTTTGTTAATATGTTTTTTGGTAACAATCAGAAATCAATTATAACATCTTCCAAAAACAATTATGGCAAATACATACTTCCTTGCCCTCATTACCGAATGCCAAGAATAAAAATTGGCATAATAGTAACTTCCAGTGGTAGCAAATGATATCCTCCTACCCCACCCCCTTGGTTGTGTTGTTTGTGTCACCATGGACTTACAAATTATTAAAAATATACTCTCAAGTTTGTCTATCAAAAGGAACAGGAGTAACATCACTACAGTACAAACAATACCCCTATAAACTAGATCCTGATTTTGAAACACCATTTCCTGCTAAGACCAGGGATCGCTTTTGACTGCTTGACTTCAGACTGAGGGCAGGAAAGTCCAGGTAAGCCTGGCATATGTCATTGTGACAAACAGGAAAATTGGAGCATCCAGAGAATAACGACTGTACTTTGTACATAAACCTTTGTCTGACCTTTTAATCTCTCCCTTAATTTAACTACTCAAAAGTAGAGTTCTTAGTTACATAAAATTGAAAGGCAAGAGGAGAAATACTCTTCTTCAGCAAGATTGTAAATTCCAATAGATTGAGGTTGCTAGAAGTTTTGTTTGTCTGTTTTTACCAATTAAGTCCCCACTGTCTAGAACAGTACTTGAAACATATTGTTGTTAAGTGCAGTAGAGTTGACTATGACTGCACCTTGCCCTATCCTGAGCCAACCTCACCATTTCTGACACACCTGATCTCATTGCCACAGTCACTGTGTCAGTCCATCTCATCCAAGGACTTCCTCTTCTGTACTGACCCTTTATTCTTTCAAGCATAATGTCCTCCAAAGACTAGATCCTCCTGACCCCAAGTATGTAAGACAGAGCTTCAAAAACATTACCACCAAGAAGCTGCCTGATTTCGCCCTCTCCAGAACAAACTTGTTTGTTCTCTCGGCCATCCACAAAACACATAGAGACTTCAAAACACGATAAATGAATAAGAATGACTTTTGTCTTTTGTCAAGGTTCTATCTCAATAATCCAAGGTTCTATTTCAATAATCCAGGCCTTACACAATTACACCAACCACGGGTTCAGATTAAAAGCGATTGTGAGGATGCCCAAGGACTGGACAGAGTGTGTATGGAGTTGCTGAGTCAGGACCAACACAGTGGCCCCTAACAATAACAACACACCTATCAGTCTGTTATAGGCACATCTATAACATGCCTATAACTCTGGCATGACACTGAATAGACAAATAATTCACGGTGTTCATATCTGAAAGGCTGTTTTTTATGAAGGGGAGGAGAAGGTACTAAAACAAATAAAATAACTCCAAAACAATTAGTGGGGCCAGTGGAAAAAGAGTGAAAGGATGATGGGAAAAGTCAGTGGAAAGGCCATGCCTACCAATTTCCTCTGTGGTTCATTGATAGGAAAGGAAGAAAGCAGATTTAAAAGGGTTTTGCTACCCAAGAACTTAGTCCCTTTCTAATGACTATCAAGTTTCTGAAATCAGTATTATTTCTTCAGATTGCAAATTCTTTCAGGAACATTTGTCCATGTGACAGATTATATGTCTCTGTGTTCACATATGGATCCTTCACTATTTGAAAAACTCAACAATGACATCATCTCAGGAGACTGATCATCTGTAAAATAGCTTAAGAGGAAACATTATTTCTCAAAATAAATCATCAGGAGAATAAAACTATTTCCTAGCATTTCTCAACATGATGGTACCTCCTAGGTGGTTGACTTTGTCCCAGATGATCTAAGAACTCTTCTCTCTGCAGGGCAAGGTGGAAGCTGAATTTCACTTAGTTACTGCGGAAGAAGCTGAGAAAAATCCTGTGGGAAAAGCCAGAAAGGAGCCAGAACCTCTAGCGAAACCCAAGTGAGTGGTGTTGTGAATGAGAACATTGGAAACGGGAAGGGCGCTTGGCACTTCATGGATGTGGGCGTCCACCAGGAGGGTCCTTCCAGCCAACACATGGGAGTGCAGCAGTCAATTGTTAGTTGTTGTTATTAGGTGCGTTTGAGTCGATTACAGTTCATAGCAACACTATGAACAGAGATCTAAACCCCACTCCATCCTGTAAACATCCTCACACTTCCTATCACACCAGAGCCCATTGCAGCAGACATCATGTCAGTCCACCCGGTTGAAGGTCTTCCTTTCCTTACACCGACCCTCTACCCCTCTAAGCATCATGTCCCTCTTCAAGGATTAGCTCCTCCTAGCAACATGCTGCCTAGGCTGTATAGTGTTTTGATTTCTAGAAATGAAAAATATTTTAAAAACCTTACAAAATATTTTGCAAATGGTTGGGGAAGTTAGTCTAGAGTAGATAAGCTTTTCTAGAATAACTAACATACATTCCTTCTTAGACATTTTTCATGTGAATAAAAAAAGTCACATGAGAATTTTTCTTATTCTCTAATCACAGGAAATTATCTGAGTATCATTTCGAGTTCTATGCTATTGGCATAAACCCTCTGACATTCAGTTGGTTCTGACTCAGCCGCCCCAGAGAAGTGGCCCGTGTGGCCTTGAAGGATATAATATTGTGGGGCGCACTGGCTCGTCTCTCTTCCACCCGTTCCTTGATGGGTTCAAACCAATGACCTTTTAGTTTGCAACCACTGTCCCACTAAGGTTGTTGCCGTTGTTGTCATAATTAGGATTTTTAATGACTCTGGATTATTTAATAGATTTTATACCTCATGAGTATATTTGCTCACCACCTCTACCCCTCAACTGAACATTTAATCTACTTCTTTGCTGAGATTTAATTAATAATGGATGCTTAATTATTCATGAGGAATAAGTCCCTAGGGTTGTGGATTAGTAGTAAGGAATTGCACTACCAACCCAAAGGTACCTGGTTCAAATCCACCAGCTGCTCCATGGGAGAAAAGATGAGTAATCTCTCCAACTCTTCCCATGCTGTTTACTGCCTCTGAAAACCTGCTGGAGGGTCCGCTATGAGTGTGTTCCAACTCGACACACACACCAGCAACAATCATTTACTAAGGGGCTCTGGTGGCCGTAGTGTGATAGCGTGTTAAGTGCTGCGTTGCTAACAGAAAAGGCCAACTGTTTGGATCTGCCAGCTCCTCCACGGGAGAAATGGGCAGCCTCCCATACGCCGCGGCCCCAGAAACCCGGTGCAGTCAGGATCATCCTCACAGTCGTGGGTGTAAGTGCTCATGAACGTAAAATTCTTTATTAAGCCCACCACTCGACTCTGGCACTAAAAAGCTGCTTTGAAGAACGCAGGAAATGTTGTTGTTGTTGTTATGTGCCGCCGAGTCATTTGCAACTCATAGCGACCCTATGCACAACAGCCCTAAACCCTGCTCTATCCTGTGCCAATCGCACTGCCTCCAACACACCCATCCCGATTACCCCAGTCACCGAATCAATCCACCTCATAGAGGGCCTTCCCCTCCTGCGCTGTCCCTCCACCCTCCCAAGCATGACGTCCCTCTCCAAGGACCCGTCCCTCCTGGCAA